ACGGACGCAGCAGAGACATGGGTGAAGACCGGACGACGGACGCAGCAGAGACACGGGTGAAGACGGGACGACGGACGCAGCAGAGACACGGGTGAAGACGGGACGACGGACGCAGCAGAGACACGGGTGAAGACCGGACGACGGACGCAGCAGGGACACGGGTGAAGACCGGACGACGGACGCAGCAGAGACACGGGTGAAGACGGGACGACGGACGCAGCAGAGACACGGGTGAAGACGGGACGACGGACGCAGCAGAGACACGGGTGAAGACGGGACAACGGACGCAGCAGAGACACGGGTGAAGACGGGACGACGGACGCAGCAGAGACACGGGTGAAGACGGGACAACGGACGCAGCAGAGACACGGGTGAAGACGGGACGACGGACGCAGCAGAGAAGACGGGACGACGGACGCAGCAGGGACACGGGTGAAGACGGGACGACGGACGCAGCAGAGACACGGGTGAAGACGGGACGACGGACGCAGCAGGGACACGGGTGAAGACCGGACGACGGACGCAGCAGAGACACGGGTGAAGACGGGACGACGGACGCAGCAGAGACACGGGTGAAGACGGGACGACGGACGCAGCAGAGACACGGGTGAAGACGGGACGACGGACGCAGCAGGGACACGGGTGAAGACCGGACGACGGACGCAGCAGAGACACGGGTGAAGACGGGACGACGGACGCAGCAGAGACACGGGTGAAGACGGGACGACGGACGCAGCAGAGACACGGGTGAAGACGGGACGACGGACGCAGCAGAGACACGGGTGAAGACGGGTCGACGGACGCAGCAGAGAAGACGGGACGACGGACGCAGCAGGGACACGGGTGAAGACGGGACGACGGACGCAGCAGGGACACGGGTGAAGACGGGACGACGGACGCAGCAGAGACACGGGTGAAGACGGGACGACGGACGCAGCAGAGACACGGGTGAAGACGGGACGACGGACGCAGCAGGGACACGGGTGAAGACGGGACGACGGACGCAGCAGGGACACGGGTGAAGACGGGACGACGGACGCAACGGGACGACGGACGCAGCAGAGACACGGGTGAAGACGGGACGACGGACGCAGCAGGGACACGGGTGAAGACGGGACGACGGACGCAGCAGAGACACGGGTGAAGACGGGACGACGGACGCAGCAGAGACACGGGTGAAGACGGGACGACGGACGCAGCAGAGACACGGGTGAAGACGGGACGACGGACGCAGCAGAGACACGGGTGAAGACGGGACGACGGACGCAGCAGAGACACGGGTGAAGACGGGACGACGGACGCAGCAGAGACACGGGTGAAGACGGGACGACGGACGCAGCAGAGACACGGGTGAAGACGGGACGACAGCCGCAGCAGAGACACAGGTGAAGACGGGACGACGGACGCAGCAGAGACACGGGTGAAGACGGGACGACGGACGCAGCAGAGACACGGGTGAAGACGGGACGACGGACGCAGCAGAGACACGGGTGAAGACGGGACGACAGCCGCAGCAGAGACACGGGTGAAGACGGGACGACAGCCGCAGCAGAGACACAGGTGAAGACGGGACGACGGACGCAGCAGAGACACGGGTGAAGACGGGACGACGGACGCAGCAGAGACACGGGTGAAGACGGGACGACGGACGCAGCAGAGACACGGGTGAAGACGGGACGACGGACGCAGCAGAGACACGGGTGAAGACGGGACGACGGACGCAGCAGAGACACGGGTGAAGACGGGACGACGGACGCAGCAGAGACACGGGTGAAGACGGGACGACGGACGCAGCAGAGACACGGGTGAAGACGGGACGACAGCCGCAGCAGAGACACGGGTGAAGACGGGACGACGGACGCAGCAGAGACACGGGTGAAGACGGGACGACGGACGCAGCAGAGACACGGGTGAAGACGGGACGACGGACGCAGCAGAGACACGGGTGAAGACGGGACGACGGACGCAGCAGAGACACGGGTGAAGACGGGACGACAGCCGCAGCAGAGACACGGGTGAAGACGGGACGACAGACGCAGCAGAGACACGGGTGAAGACGGGACGACGGACGCAGCAGAGACACAGGTGAAGACGGGACGACGGACGCAGCAGAGACACAGGTGAAGACGGGACGACGGACGCAGCAGAGACACGGGTGAAGACGGGACGACAGCCGCAGCAGAGACACGGGTGAAGACGGGACGACAGACGCAGCAGAGACACGGGTGAAGACGGGACGACGGACGCAGCAGAGACACGGGTGAAGACGGGACGACAGACGCAGCAGAGACACGGGTGAAGACGGGACGACGGACGCAGCAGAGACACAGGTGAAGACGGGACGACGGACGCAGCAGAGACACGGGTGAAGACGGGACGACGGACGCAGGACGCAGCAGAGACACGGGTGAAGACGGGACGACGGACGCAGCAGAGACACGGGTGAAGACGGGACGACGGACGCAGCAGGGACACGGGTGAAGACGGGACGACAGCCGCAGCAGAGACACAGGTGAAGACGGGACGACTGCCGCAGCAGAGACACAGGTGAAGACGGGACGACGGACGCAGCAGAGACACAGGTGAAGACGGGACGACGGACGCAGCAGAGACACAGGTGAAGACGGGACGACGGACGCAGCAGAGACACAGGTGAAGACGGGACGACGGACGCAGCAGAGACACGGGTGAAGACGGGACGACGGACGCAGCAGAGACACGGGTGAAGACGGGACGACGGACGCAGCAGGGACACGGGTGAAGACGGGACGACGGACGCAGCAGAGACACGGGTGAAGACGGGACGACGGACGCAGCAGAGACACGGGTGAAGACGGGACGACGGACGCAGCAGAGACACGGGTGAAGACGGGACGACAGCCGCAGCAGAGACACAGGTGAAGACGGGACGACGGACGCAGCAGAGACACGGGTGAAGACGGGACGACGGACGCAGCAGAGACACGGGTGAAGACGGGACGACGGACGCAGCAGGGACACGGGTGAAGACGGGACGACGGACGCAGCAGAGACACGGGTGAAGACGGGACGACGGACGCAGCAGAGACACGGGTGAAGACGGGACGACGGACGCAGCAGACACACAGGTGAAGACGTCTCCATAAACCTCACAGATTCCACAGGACGCAGCGTCACCCAGAGACTCTGTTCATGGTTACAGTCAAACATCTTTATGACGAAGATCCAGGGAGCAGATGGGGCATTGGGCCTCATCGTTCCACCTTTAGTTCCTGTTCTGCTCCTTCCAGGACCTGGGAGTCATGATGTCGCTGATGAAGCTGAATCAAGAGGTGAACTTAAACTGGAACCAACTGGTCGGCAGTCCTGGATGAAATCCTCTGATGGTTTACTCTGCGTGTTACCAGGAGACGTAAGGATGGGCGGTTTGGGTCAGGCTCTAATCCAGCTGATAATCCTGCTCATTCCAGGCTGCTTTCATCAACCGTCAGGAATCCGATTCCAGGAAGTCATCTTTAAATCAAACCCCATCTGATGGGAAACTTTACTGGATGATGGGAGCCGGATTTGGAACGGTTTCACTTTTAATTAAATAGAAGTTACAAGATTTCAATGATTCATTAGAAAGAAAAACAAACTATTTCTCACCTATTAGGGACCGTTTCAAAAAGAGGAACTCAACTGTTAAATAATCATAAAATAAAATGGAGCTTATTTTAACAGTTCTGATGAAAATGAAAAAGAGAGATCATATCTCTCCTATCCTGGCTTCTCTTCATTGGCTTCCTGTTAAATCAAGAATAGAATTTAAAATCCTCCTTCTCACATATAAAGCCTTAAATGGCCAAGCTCCATCTGATATCAGAGATCTGATTGTTCCTTATGTTCCTAACAGAGCACTTCGCTCTCAATCTGCAGGTTTACTAGTGGTTCCTAGAACTTCTAAAAGTAGAATGGGAGGCAGATCTTTTAGTTCTCAGGCTCCTCTCCTGTGGAACCAACTACCAGTTTTAGTCCGTGAGGCAGACACCCTGTCTACTTTTAAGGCTAGGCTTAAAACTTTCCTTTTTGATAAAGCTTCTAGTTAGAGTGGCTCAGGTTATCCTGATCTATCTCTATAGTTCTGCTGCTATAGGCTTAGACTGCTGGAGGACATAGGGACCCCTTTTTCACCATTCTATCTCTGTAGTTATCATCTTGAGATTTTAGTGTCAGTGGCTGTAAAAATATTTCCTTTTATTAACTATAAACATTTTATCTAAAACTACGGGAAGGGAAAATTAGTTAAAGAAACAGTTAAAGAAAATTTCTTCACTGTTCCGGTTTTCTGAGATGTTCCTGTAGAGACACCATAACTGATGTCTCCACCTTCGCTGTAGCGGGGCGTCCGCCATGTTTTCACAGAGAAGAGATGATTCTCCATCTGATGTCAGCAGAGTTCCTCCTTGTTCTCCTCTGCTGACATGCAGAACCTTAAACCAGGCGTCAGATTTCTATACACGTTGATCCTGCTGCTTTCCCTCACCGTTTCTCCTGCAGGTGTCTGATCCAGACCTCACCTCATCATGGCTGCCGCCTGCTGAGCCCAACAGAGTCTCCTGCACCTTCATGATGTTCTGACTAATCAGCAGAAGCCACTCTGAAGCTCCGCAGGAGAGCAGAGGACTGATCATCAGGACTAACGGCAGTCAGAACCTCCTGCATTTACGCTTTACTGACACTAGAGGGCGCCACCAAGCTGGTGAGCTGCAGTAGAGCTCAGGACAGCCTTCATGGTCCTCCTGAAGGTCAGCAGGAAAGACGCTGCTGCCCAGTAAAGTAAACTGGTAAAACTGGTCAGAGGAAGGAGAACAGGAATGATCCAGTGATTAATGGATGAATTAACGGCTCATCGTGAATTAGGAGGATTTCTGCTCCTGGTTTTGGACCAGATGAAGGAACCAGGATGCTAAGCAGAAGGTCGGGTTCTGTGCAGCCCCTACCCCAGGCAGAACCAGACCAGGTCTGGATGTGGTACTTACTGCGGCACTTGGCGCAGCGCCCCTTGTCGTACTCCAGCAGGTCCAGAGTCCGTCTGCGTTCGCTGATGGACCGCCTGGGACCGCTCTCCCTCAGCCGCGCCGCCTCCTCTTTAGCGTACTCCCCAAGTTCCTGGGTGTAACGCCCATACATCTGTGGGGGAGGGGGGGACACCCATCAGTCCACAGACTCCTGCTTTCAGTACCAGTCTGACCCAGAGACAGTGGAGGTGCCGACCCACAGACATCCAGCTGATGTCCCGAGGCTTTCATTGGTCTGGACCTTCAGACACGTTCAGGTTGGATGATAGAAAACTTTACAGCATTCAGACGGATCCTGATTAACGGATGGAGTCATTAATTAACCATCACTGGAAAACAGACTAACAGTCATTAGCAGCAATTATGCCAAAGTAATATAATATAATAATTATACAATAAATATAGAAATATAAACGTTTTACTTCAGGATGGTAAAGCGTTTCTGTCTAAACAGGATTAAATCTTCTTTAAGGCATCTTCTGTTATCCAACCGTTCATTTAAAAACACCCGACCTGACAGGAAGACAAAGACAGATTCACATTCACTCCCCCCCCCCACACACACACACACCCCCATATGGACGCACTCACCGGAGACGCACACAGAGGCAGACCGTAAACATACACTACCCTCCTGGGTCTGGGGGCCAGGCCCCCTTCTCCCCAGTGTGAGAAGGGGGCAGGCAGCCAGAGGGGCTGGGAACTAGAGAACTAGAACTATTAGTTAGTTGGTGAACCCAGTAAATGAGGAAGAAGTTCTGATGCTAACCTGCTGTAGCAAAGCTATTTTTAAAGCCAAACCGTACAGAGCAGAGCGACGGCGGCGTTTCTACCCATCACTCATTACTCAGCTCCTCCCACATGGCGGGCTGAAACCAGGGTTCCTAGAAGACAGCCCTGATGGACCGACCCGGGATAAGATGAGGGCAAACACACCCAGTCCCACTGCTGCAATGTAAACAAACACTGGCTATTTATAGACTTATTCACACAGATCCGCCCCGAGGTCATCAGAACAAAGCAGCCAGAGACCTGAGCCAGGTTTAAATAGGGTCAAAGGTCACCACAGTTTGGAGGAGTCAAACAGGAATTCAACCGGCACCCTGTCAGTGGAAACGGTGAGTGAAGGAATAAAGGTTAGTGGCTTCCTGCTTGTAAAGGCTGCCAGGTAAAGGTGTGCTCTGACAGTAAATGAAGGTTTCTGAGGGCGTTTCTCAGAAACCTCCGTTTCTCAGTACGTACTCGCGTTCTCGTGAAGTCCGTTCTTGGCGAGAATACAGGAAGATCGGACTTAACGAGAACGCGAGCCCGCAAGCACGTATGTGTATTGGAACAGAAGCGTACTCGTGACGTCATCACCTGCAACGTTGTTTAGCTTTTCTTTAACAGTCAAAACTATTTATTCCCTACACAAAACATTTTGAAAACAATATTTTTAATTTCTAAAGCTTAAAAAACATTTTTTTTAAATTACGGAACCACAAAAAACCGCCATCAGAACGAGCGGTAGTTCACACATAACTAGACCGAGAGAACTGCGCTACAGACGGGGTAAATTTAGCCCTGGCTGCGGTTACCCTCGGAGGTCTGCTGGTCACTCTGGTCCGCTCAACGTCGGACTTTTTTTTTTAATTTCGCACTAACTCTGTAAACAGGCCACACAGGGAGGCTTCAATGTATAATGTTATCGCCTCAAACGATTTCAAAACGTACTTTTGAAGAACAACAGCAGCAGAAAAGGGAATGTTTAACTTAACACTGTGAGCACTGTCTGGAATCAAGCCGCGGCCGCGGGGCATTCTGGGGAAGCGGTCAGTCTGAAGAACGCACAAGTCTGCTCTGATGCATGCTCGATAAAGAGGGCGGGGCGCTACATTGATGCCATAAAGCAGGCGTCACTGTAGCGCCGTCTGTAGCTAACCGCTACACTGATGCCATAAAGCAGGCGTCACTGTAGCGCCGTCTGTAGCTAACCGCTACACTGATGCCATGAAGCAGGCGTCACTTTAACGCCGTCTGTAGCTAACCGCTACACTGATGCCATGAAGCAGGCGTCACTTTAACGCCGTCTGTAGCTAACCGCTACATTGATGCTATAAAGCAGGCGTCACTTTAACGCCGTTTGTAGCTAACCGCTACATTGATGCCATAAAGCAGGCGTCACTTTAACGCCGTCTGTAGCTAACCGCTACATTGATGCCATAAAGCAGGCGTCACTTTAACGCCGTCTGTAGCTAACCGCTACACTGATGCCATAAAGCAGGCGTCACTGTAGCGCCGTCTGTAGCTAACCGCTACACTGATGCCATGAAGCAGGCGTCACTTTAACGCCGTCTGTAGCTAACCGCTACATTGATGCCATAAAGCAGGCGTCACTTTAACGCCGTCTGTAGCTAACCGCTACATTGATGCCATAAAGCAGGCGTCACTGTAGCGCAGTCTGTAGCTAACCGCTACACTGATGCCATGAAGCAGGCGTCACTTTAACGCCGTCTGTAGCTAACCGCTACATTGATGCCATAAAGCAGGCGTCACTTTAACGCCGTCTGTAGCTAACCGCTACATTGATGCCATAAAGCAGGCGTCACTTTAACGCCGTCTGTAGCTAAACGCTACATTGATGCCATAAAGCAGGCGTCACTTTAACGCCGTCTGTAGCTAAACGCTACATTGATGCCATAAAGCAGGCGTCACTTTAACGCCGTCTGTAGCTAAACGCTACATTGATGCCATAAAGCAGGCGTCACTTTAACGCCGTCTGTAGCTAACCGCTACATTGATGCCATAAAGCAGGCGTCACTTTAACGCCGTCTGTAGCTAAACGCTACATTGATGCCATAAAGCAGGCGTCACTTTAACGCCGTCTGTAGCTAACCGCTACATTGATGCCATAAAGCAGGCGTCACTTTAACGCCGTCTGTAGCTAAACGCTACATTGATGCCATAAAGCAGGCGTCACTTTAACGTCGTCTGTAGCTAACCGCTACATTGATGCCATAAAGCAGGCGTCACTTTAACGCCGTCTGTAGCTAACCGCTACATTGATGCCATAAAGCAGGCGTCACTTTAACGCCGTCTGTAGCTAACCGCTACATTGATGCCATAAAGCAGGCGTCACTTTAACGCCGTCTGTAGCTAACCGCTACATTGATGCCATAAAGCAGGCGTCACTTTAACGCCGTCTGTAGCTAACCGCTACATTGATGCCATAAAGCAGGCGTCACTTTAACGCCGTCTGTAGCTAAACGCTACATTGATGCCATAAAGCAGGCGTCACTTTAACGCCGTCTGTAGCTAAACGCTACATTGATGCCATAAAGCAGGCATCACTTTAACGCCGTCTGTAGCTAAACGCTACATTGATGCCATAAAGCAGGCGTCACTTTAACGCCGTCTGTAGCTAACCGCTACATTGATGCCATAAAGCAGGCGTCACTTTAACGCCGTCTGTAGCTAAACGCTACATTGATGCCATAAAGCAGGCGTCACTTTAACGCCGTCTGTAGCTAACCGCTACATTGATGCCATAAAGCAGGCGTCACTTTAACGCCGTCTGTAGCTAAACGCTACATTGATGCCATAAAGCAGGCGTCACTTTAACGTCGTCTGTAGCTAACCGCTACATTGATGCCATAAAGCAGGCATCACTTTAACGCCGTCTGTAGCTAACCGCTACATTGATGCCATAAAGCAGGCGTCACTTTAACGCCGTCTGTAGCTAAACGCTACATTGATGCCATAAAGCAGGCGTCACTTTAACGCCGTCTGTAGCTAACCGCTACATTGATGCCATAAAGCAGGCGTCACTTTAACGCCGTCTGTGGCTAAACGCTACATTGATGCCATAAAGCAGGCGTCACTTTAACGCCGTCTGTAGCTAACCGCTACATTGATGCCATAAAGCAGGCGTCACTTTAACGCCGTCTGTAGCTAACCGCTACATTGATGCCATAAAGCAGGCGTCACTTTAACGCCGTCTGTAGCTAAACGCTACATTGATGCCATAAAGCAGGCGTCACTTTAACGCCGTCTCTAGCTAAACGCTACATTGATGCCATAAAGCAGGCGTCACTTTAACGCCGTCTGTAGCTAACCGCTACATTGATGCCATAAAGCAGGCGTCACTTTAACGCCGTCTGTAGCTAACCGCTACATTGATGCCATAAAGCAGGCGTCACTTTAACGCCGTCTGTAGCTAACCGCTACATTGATGCCATAAAGCAGGCGTCACTGTAGCGCCGTCTGTAGCTAACCGCTACATTGATGCCATAAAGCAGGCGTCACTGTAGCGCCGTCTGTAGCTAACCGCTACATTGATGCCATAAAGCAGGCGTCACTTTAACGCCGTCTGTAGCTAACCGCTACATTGATGCCATAAAGCAGGCGTCACTTTAGCGCCGTCTGTAGCTAACCGCTACATTGATGCCATAAAGCAGGCGTCACTTTAACGCCGTCTGTAGCTAACCGCTACATTGATGCCATAAAGCAGGCGTCACTTTAACGCCGTCTGTAGCTAACCGCTACATTGATGCCATAAAGCAGGCGTCACTTTAACGCCGTCTGTAGCTAACCGCTACACTGATGGACAGGTGAGGGAGAGGGATTACTGGCTGAACCAGATTACCTCAGGTTTAATCCTGACTTCCACCGAGCTGGATTCATTCTTGGCCTGGCTGGTCACCATGGTAACGTACCAGCTTTCAGGATTGATCTGAATGCAGCCAGCAGCCAATCAGCTGTTAGGAAACAATGACGAGTCCTTTGATTGGATTCAGAGGGAAAAGAACCGAATCTCCATAAACTGAACTTTATTCTGCTTTTGTTTTCTCTACTACTTCTATTACTTCCAAGTCAAATGATCTGTTGTTTTAGGACTATCCATCGACTTCATCTTCAGTCTGACGTCTTTCTAGAGCGGACTGATGGACTGTGAGGAGGACACATCCCTCATGGGGGTGAAAGCGTCGACCAGTAGGACAGAAGCTGGTTTCTGGCATCCAAAGCCAGCCGCTGCTCGTGCAACGATGGCGTTCAGCACGGCCTCCTCAGCCACATCCACCAGCAGCCCTACGGTTTAATTAAATGAGCAGACTTCAAACGGGACCAAAACGC